ATATATATGTATCTATATTTCTATGTATCCACATATCGATATATCTATATATCTATTTATCCATATACCTATATATATGTATCTATATCTATGTATCCACATATCGATATATCTATATATCTATGTATCCATATATCTATATATCTATGTATCCACATATCGATATATCTATATCTATGTATCCATATATCTATATATCTATGTATCCACATATCGATATATCTATATCCATGTATCCATATATCTATATATCTATGTATCCACATATGATATCTGTATATCTATGTACACATATATCCATATATCTATATGTATCCACATATCGATATATCTATATCCATATATCTATATATCTATGTATCCATATATCTATATATGTATCCATATATCTATATCTATGTATCCATATATCTATATATCTATGTATCCACATATGATATATCTGTATATCTATGTACACATATATCCATATATCTATATGTATCCACATATCGATATATCTATATATCCATATATCTATATATCTATGTATCCACATATCGATATATCTGTATATCTATGTATCCATATATCTATATATCTATATATCCATGTATCCATATCTATATCTATGTATCCACATATCGATATATCTGTATATCCATGTATCCATATATCTATATATCTATATATCTACGTATCCACATATCGATATATCTATATACCATGTATCCATATATCTATATCTATATATCTACGTATCCACATATCGATATATCTGTATATCTATGTATCCATATCCATATATATGTATCTATATATAACTATATATCTATGTATCCATATATCCATATATCTATATATCTATGTATCCATATTCTATATATCTATGTATCCACATATCGATATATCTATATATCTATATATCCATATATCTATATATCTATGTATCCACATATCGATATATCTATATATCTATGTATCCATATATATATATCTATGTATCCACATGTCGATATATCTATATATCTATGTATCCATATATCTATATATCTATATATCCATGTATCCATATATCTATATATCTATGTATCCACATATCGATATATCTGTATATCCATGTATCCATATATCTATATATCTATGTATCCATATATCTATATCTATGTATCCACATATCGATATATCTATATATCTATGTATCCATATATCTATATATCTATGTATCCACATATCGATATATCTATATATCTATGTATCCATATATCTATATATCTATGTATCCACATATCGATATATCTGTATATCTATGTATCCATATATCCATATATCTATATATCTATGTATCCACATATCGATATATCTATATATCTATGTATCCATATATCTATATATCTATGTATCCACATATCGATATATCTGTATATCTATGTATCCATATATCTATATATCTATGTATCCACATATCGATATATCTGTATATCCATGTATACTATATCTATATATCTATGTATCCGCATATCGATATATCTGTATATCTATGTATCCATATATCTATATATCTATGTATCCATATCGATATCTATATCTATGTATCCATATATCTATATATCTATATCCATGTATCCATATATCTATATATATATATGTATCTATATAATTATATATCTAGGTATCCTATATCTATATATCTTTGTATCCACATATCAATATATCTATATATCCATGTATCCATATATCTATATATCTATGTATCCACATATCGATATATCTGTATATCCATGTATACATATATCTATATATCTATGTATCCACATATCGATATATCTGTATATCTATGTATCCATATATCTATATATCTTTGTATCCACATATCGATATATCTGTATATCCATGTATCCATATATCTATATATCTATGTATCCACATATCGATATATCTGTATATCTATTTATCATATATCTATATATCTATGTATCCACATATCGATATATGTATATCTATGTATCCATATATCTATATATCTTTGTATCCACATATCGATATATATGTATCTATGTATGCATATATCTATATGTCTTTGTATCCACATATCGATATCTGTATATCTATGTATCCATATATCCATATTATGTATCTATATATAATATATCTATGTATCCATATATCCATATATCTATATATCTATGTATCCATATATCTATATCTATGTATCCACATATCGATATATCTATATATCTATATATCTATATATCCATATATCTATATATCTATGTATCCACATATCGATATATCTATATATCTATGTATCCATATATCTATATATCTATGTATCCACTATCGATATATCTATATATCTATGTATCCATATCTATATTCTATATCCATGTATCCATATCTATATATCTATGTATCCACATATCGATATATCTGTATATCCATGTATCCATATATCTATATATCTATGTATCCATATCGATATATCTATGTATCCACATATCGATATCTATATATCTATGTATCCATATCTCTATATCTATGTATCCACATATCGATATATCTATTATCTATGTATCCACATATCGATATATCTGTATATCTATTTATACATATATCTATATATCTATGTATCCACTATCGATATATATGTATATCTATGTATCCATATATCTATATATCTTTGTATCCACATATCGATATATATGTATATCTATGTATGCATATATCTATATGTCTTTGTATCCACATATCGATTATATGTATATCTAGTATCCATTATCTATCTATCTATGTATCCACATATCGATATATATGTATACTATGTATGCATATATCTATAATCTTTGTATCCACATATCGATATATCTATATTTCTATGTATCCAATACCTATATATATGTATCTATATATCTATGTATCCACATATCGATATATCTATATTTCTATGTATCCATATACCTATATATAGTATCTATATATCTATGTATCCACATATCTATATATCTATATCCATGTATCCATATATTTATATATCTATGTATCCACATATCGATATATCTATATATCTATGTATCCATAATCTATATATCTATGTATCCACATATCGATATATCTGTATATCTATGTATCCATATATCTATATATCTATGTATCCACATATCGATATCTCTATATCTATGTATCCATATCTGTATATCTATGTATCCACACATCGATATATCTGTATATCTATGTATCCATATATCTATATATCTATGTATCCATAAATCTATATATCTATGTATCCACATATCGATATATCTGTATATCTATGTATCCATATATCTATATATCTATGTATCCACATATCGATATATCTGTATATCTATGTATCCATATATCTATATATCTATGTATCCACATATCGATATATCTGTATATCTATGTATCCATATATCTATATATCTATGTATCCACATATCGATATATCTATATATCTATTATCCATATATCTATATATCCATGTATCCATATATCTATATATATATATGTATCTATATAACTATATATCTATGTATCCATATATCTATATATCTTTGTATCCACATATCGATATATCTATATATCCATGTATCCATATATCTATATATCTTTGTATCCACATATCGATATATCTGTATATCTATGTATCCATATATCTATATATCTTTGTATCCACATATCGATATATCTGTATATCCATGTATCCATATATCTATATATCTATGTATCCACATATCGATATATATGTATATCCATGTATCCATATATCTATATATCTATGTATCCACATATCGATATATATGTATATCTATTTATACATATATCTATTATCTATGTATCCACATATCGATATATCTGTATATCTATGTATCCATATATCTATATCTATGTATCCACATATCGATATATCTATAT